CATTTCCTCTCCTCTACTCCTCTTCTCTTGCTCTTATTGTAGCAACTCCCCCCAACCTCATGCTCCCAATTAGTTCAGGAGTTCATGCCACTTCCATTTCTGGGGATCATTTATCCCTTAGAGTCCTTCATGTTTCCTAGTTTCTTTGTTGAAGAGGATTATAGGCTGGTATTCCTTTGCTCTATGCAAGACTTCAGTTTTTCACAATTTTTAGACATAGTTGACCAGAGATATGCTCATCAAGAAGGATATGTAAATAATGAATAATGTGTAATAATTCATGTAATTAAGGGCTGAAGTAAAGGTGTTCTCTCAGCCTGTAGATCCAGATTAAGGGTGTGTGTCTTCTTTCCTCAAAAGTAAACTTTGGAGTGGATCTGCCTACTTTAGCTTTAGCAACAATTTCTCACCGGTGTGATCTTCATTTTTTAGTATTGTTCTTTCCAGATATTGCCAAGTTGAGAACCGAAAATCACCATAATAAGTGTGTTTACAATGAGTGCTGGTATATACACCATCATGGAAGAGGGCTTTTCCTTACCATGTCAGTGGTCTTAGTTTTCACAACATGGAGCCCATAAATGGTGTGTGAGAAGCAGAGACAAGTTGTCTTTTTGGTGGCTCTCCTCTTTCCTACCCTTAATTTTATCCAGAAGCACAGTCCCGGGATGACTCCAACAAGCTGTAGTAGTGGTCTTTCCCCCTGCCTCTATGATGATTTTACGTAGAAAAATTATTTCAGACCCATCTATGTGTGTGGTTAGTCAATATCCTAAATCCTTCTCCTGTCAATCACTTAGATGAGTCTCAGTAGGTCATATGCTGCATCATCCACTACCGTCCTCCACTGGTAGGTTCTGACCTGTTCAACTGCAGAACTGTCATGCTTATTCTTCTGGTCCCTAAAGTGAAAGATTATTCTTGCTTCACAAATAGACCAACCCTGGAATTAACTAAAATAGCCTAAAATGGATGGCACAACTGTGAGGAAAGTTTGCATGAGTTCAAGTAGGAGATCCTTTTGAAATACAGATTTTGGAGTTAAAAAATACAAGCATAGGCCCAGGATCAACAGTCCTGAAGACAAACACCTTATTTTTTCTTTTGGCTTTTTGAGACAGGGTTTTTCTGGGTAGCTTTGGAGCCTATCCAGGCACTTGCTCTTGAGATCAGGGTGGCCTCTAACTCACAGAGATCTGCCTGTGTCTGCCTCCCGAGTGCTGGGATTAGATGCATTTGCCACCAACACTGGTTCTGTAAGCTTCTTGTACTACCATAGGCATATCCTTCTTTAAGTTGGAGAAGTTTTCTTCTATGATTTTGTTGGATATGTTTTCTATAACTTTGAGCTGAATTTCTTCACCTTCTTATATATAGGTTATTCTTAGGTTTGGTCTTTTCACAGTGCCCCATATTTCCTGGATATTTAGTATTAGGGATTTGTTGGACTTGAGGTTTTCTTTGGTGGATGACTGCATATCCTCTAATGAGTCTTCAACACTTGTGATTCTTTCTTCCATATCTGAAAGACCCCCGAAGAGGTACTTTCGTAGAGGGAGACCCACACCCAGGAATCAGCGAGGCCACGAACTGGATGTAAAAACAAGAGGCTTTATTGGAGACGCGGGTGAGGAATGTTTGCATGAGTTCAAGTAGGAGTTCCATTTGAAATACCGATTTTGGAGTTAAAAAATACAAGCATAGGAACAGGATCAACAGTCCTGAAGACACACAACTTTTTTTTTTTTTTTGGATTTTTGACACAGGGTTTCTCTGTGTAGCTTTGGAGCCTATCCGGGCACTTGCTCTTGAGATCACGATGGCCTCTAACTCACAGAGATCTGCCTGTGTCTGCATCCCGAGTGCTGGGATTAGATGCATATGCCACCAACACTGGTTCTGTAAGCTTCTTGTACTACCATAGGCATATCCTTCTTTAAGTTGGAGAAGTTTTCTTCTATGATTTTGTTGGATATGTTTTCTATAACTTTGAGCTGAATTTCTTCACCTTCTTACAAATATGTTATTCTTAGGTTTGTTCTTTTCACAGTGCCCCATATTTCCTGGATATTTAGTATTAGGGATTTGTTGGACTTGAGGTTTTCTTTGGTGGATGACTGCATATCCTCTAATGAGTCTTCAACACTTGAGATTATTTCTTCCATATCTTGTATCTATTGGTTATGATTACATCAGAGGTTCCTGATTGTTTACCCAGCTTTTCCATTTCCAGCATGCCCTCATTCTGTGTTTTCCTTATTGTTTTTTTTGTTCTTTCCTTCACTTGTTTGGTTGTTTTTTCTTGGCTTTCTTTAGATTCTTTAAGAGATTTGTTTATTTCTTGAAATTTTTGGTTTGTCTTTTCCTCTACTTCATGTGGTTTTTGCTTGTTTTTTTCTATTTAAAGGATTTTCTTCTTTCCATTTCAATGGTCTCTATCATCTTCATAGGATATTTTTAAGGTACATTTTTCTACATCCTCTATGTTGGGCTTTTCAGATCTTGCTGGTGTGGAATCTATAGATTCTGATGGTGTCATATTGGTCTTTCAGTTGTTGATTGTGTTCTTATTCTGTAGTCAACTCTTCCCTTCTTCTTGGGTGCGGGTGGGGTCTCTCAATCTCTCAGGCAGCAGTCACAGAGCAGTGGGCGAACTCAAGCCACAAGTGGAGGGCAGACTGTGGACAGGGTTCAAGGGTGAGGTGCCTTTGGAATCAGGGTGGGCCTTCCAGTTTGGGCCAACTCTTGTCCAAGGGGAGTTGCAGGAGGAACTTAGCAGGGGTGATGGGGAAGATTGGGAGCAGAGCAGCTCCCAGACTTATCTCAAGCAGAAGGTGGGAGAGTAGAGGTCAGAGGGGGGACAAGAGTGAGCTGTGTCCAGACTCAGGGTGGGCCTTCTGGTTTGGCAAGGTACAATCTTGTCTGGGTGGAGGCTCAGGAGGAATCAAGCAGGGGGTGATGGGGGAAGTTGGAGGCAGAGCAGCTCACAGACTCACCTCAAGCTACAGGGCAGAGGGCAGAAGGGGTACAAGGGTGAGATGAGTCCGGATTCAGGGTGGGCCTTCCCGAGTTTGGATTTTTCTATCACAAAGCAATATTGATATACTTTCCTTTTACATTAAAAATTATCTTATTTCCTCATTTTTTTTGAATAGAATTGTTAGAAATCAATAGTCTCAATGGCAATGCTCCCAGCAGATCCCATCCCTGCGAACTCCACCCCACCCAGAGAAATCCAACACCCCGGTACCAGTCCTGCCTCCCTGCAATGGAATAGGAGAGACATCAGAGTATTGGGCATGTTTGCACCCTTTGGAAGAAAACCTGGGTCCCGTACCGACCAGGAGAGGAATAGACTCCTTCTACACCCAATAGAAGAAGGGAAGGGAAGAAGACAAAACAATAACACATTCAACAACAGAAAAAGCAATATGACAGCACAAGAGTCTAGGGACTGTACACTAGCAAGACCTGAATATCCAAACACAGATGAAGCAGAAGAGAATAACCATAAAAACAACTTCATGGAAATGATAGAAGACACCAAAGGGAATATGGGAAAATCCCTTAAAGAAATTGAAGAAAAAAACAAACCAAAAATTACAAGAAATTAACAATTCTATTAAAGAAACCCAAGAAAAAAATAATCAAACACATGAAGGAAAAAGTTCAAACATAAAAAAATAAATACAGACGATAAGCAAAACAAAGGCTTAGGTAAAGTATAAAAGCTGTGTATATGATCCTCTGCAGGAACAACAATTGCTTTGGCCAACTGAGTCAACCCTCCAGTCCCCACACCCTGAGTTTGGAGAAAAAAAAACCTGTCTCCTTTCTCTTCTCTGTCTCTTGTAAGCAAACATGCATGTCTGTTTCCTCCTTTGCTCTAAATCCTTCATCACATAATCTGTTTAGTCTAGTCCAGACAGGTTTCTCCAAAGAAATCCTGCTGGGATGTGTTTGGGGTAATCAACTGAATGGAATCCCAGTATCCAACTCATTGGATAAAAATCTAACCAGTCCAGCAACTGTGTATAGTATCCAGGAATCCACTGATCCCCATGATTCAACTCACTTAGGGGCTTTAAAGGGCTAAGCCCCCATGTTGTCTTTTCCTAGAGAGTCTGTATACAGTACAGATGTACTGAAGTCTACCCAGGTGGCCTTGGTAACAATGCTGGCTGCCTCTTCTGGAATACACCTGGAGGTCAGAGCTGAGAGAATCCTATGATTGCTTCAAGCGTTTGGGAAGGGGTTCCAGTAAAGAGGTGTGAGCAGATGCCAAGTACTGAATGCCTCAGCCAATAAGTGGGGATCCTCGCACATGACCTTCAAACGCTCCAGGCCATACTTGTCAGCAGCTGCCGGTATAGAATCTGCCATGCTGTGGAAGACTGTTACCTTCCCGGTATAAATGAAGTCCATCATTGCCTTGAAGACTTGGGGCTCCAGATCATGGATCTCCGCGCAGTTTTTTCTTCTCTCCTCCATGTCATGTTCAAACATGGCTCTGAAAACTGGAGAACGAGCTGCTAAGATGGCCTTGTGAGCTCCGAATTCCTGGCCAGCTACCACCAGGCTGCAGTCTGTGAAGAGAGAATTCTCCCACAGCTGTCCTAGCTCATCTGCCGTCGTGCACCTTGGACCCTGGATTCCTGGCACCGTGCTCTCCTCAGAGTTGATGAAGGAGTCTTGGATCGCCAGGTCCACATCACATAAGACAGTGAGTTCATTGTCTGGGAGAAGCCAAGACTCCAGACTCAAGAACAAATCTCGATGGATAAACTTTTTGAATCCACATTGTTGATTTGGCGTGGACTTGAAGAATCTTGGGCTTATCATTCCTTTGGTTTTCTCTCCGTCAACACTCATGATCGAAAACTGGAACCTTGCCCATACTGGGCTCTTTGGGCAGCTGAGCAATGTTAGGAGAATTGACAAGTAATCTTTGCTTTCTTCGTCGAACCCGTTTGTCAGTATTTCCAAACACCATTTGTCGTTGTCACTGGCTCCGGATGAGAAGGTTGGACTTTTAATGGCGTCCCCTCTTTCCTGAAGCAAGAATCGGAACTTCCTTATGGTCCAAATGTAGGAGAATTTCTGAACACTGATCTCTGTGTAGCCCCATCTCTCCGCTGCCCGGTCTTCTGTCATTTCTACTGTGGTAGTTTGAAAGTTAACCTGGATCCAAAAATGAAGAAATAGGACAGTTTCTTCTTCAACCTGGGGTCACAATTACAGATATCTTTAACAAAGAAAATAAATCCTGAGAGACTCATTTTGGGGTTCAAGCTTCAAGTTGAAGATCAGCAAGGCAAACATCCAAGCCACTATCTCTTGCCTCTATATCAGGCTCTATGAGCTCTCAACAAACTTCAGAATGCTGTGTCCCCTCAGCTTAACAGGAGATAATCCTGAGACTGACTACTGAAGACCCCACTCCTAATTTTATACACTCTAGTGCTGTGACAAAAGGCATGAGCTGGATTACTCCTTTAATTTGTTTCAATCTCAGGTAGCCCTGTGTGTACTTGAACACAAAGAGAACCATCTGCCTTTGTCTCCTGAGTCCTTAGAAGAAAGCTGTCTGTTTGGCTTCTCTGGGTAAATAATCTTTCCTACTTTGATCACCAGTGGCTTCATAAATTGTAAGCTATATGTATGCTACCACAGATAGCTTTTAGTCTTTTATTTTCTGTTTTCCCCTCTGTTCCCACTTCTATGGGGCTGGATACTTGGATATCTCTCTGAAATTTTCTATCAAGATTTCA